TTTTAACTGGAATTACTGAAATAAACAAAGTTTTTGCTTTTTTTCTCTGGTAATAAGATCCATCTAAGGACCGGTTTGTGGTTCAGATCCAACGAGTCGCTGAAGTTAGAAACGTTAAATTAAATCGGCTGAGAATCACCCCGCCTGCATGCAAAAATAGAAATCTCAATAAGTTATTTTTTTCTTAAAATAAGTGCATTTTTCCTTGAATTGAGGAGGAAACTTACCAACGGAACAAGACGGTGTCCTTTTAAAATAAGAAAAAACAATGTTATTGTCTTATTTCAAGTGCATATTATCTAATTATCTTATTTTAAGAGTAAAAACACTCAAACACTCATTCCATTGGCAGATCATCTTATTTATCTGCTCAAATTAAGGGTAAAAATACTTAATTTAAGAAATTTTTACTTATTTCTGGATCGTTTCTGCAGTGTAGCGTTCAGACGGATGAACTCCTTTGTTCCTCGAGCCATCAAGCTGTACGACTCCTCACTGGGGGGGGGGGGGGGGGGGGGGTGATAGGAAGAGGGACAAGGGTCAGCCCCCCCCCTCCTTGGACATCTTGTGCTAAACATTAAATATTGCCACTCGTGCAATATTCTCCTCTCTCCCTGTGCAATAACTCAGACCATCTACTGTATTATTTACCTCTTTATACGGTCAGTTCATCTCTGCAGTTTAGTGCAATAATAAATCAGTATTTTTATATCTAAAGGAAACATATTCCAGGACATTACAACTTTTCTTATGCTCTTTTTTTACTATACACTCTTTTATATGTTTTCTGTTGTATTTTTATCTTTAATTGCGTCTTGCTTTAACCCTTTATACTCTATATAATTTATTGGGAGCAGAATTTCCCTGAAGGAGTAATCCCAGGGGATAAATAAAGCTGAGTCTAAGTCTAAGTCTGGAGGTTAAAGGAGGTTTGACACTTTGAATTCTTCATCAATAACAGTTTCCTCCTTTTCCAGCAAAACTCGTGCAAAGAAAACAGCAGCGGAACTGATGTTTATTCAGACTGAAATATTTAGAAACTGGAAAAATCTATATCATTATAAACTGATGATAAAGAAGCACATTGGTGTAAATTTGAAGTTTTGAAATTTGCCTCATTATTCAGTTTTAGTAATTATTTTTATTAAAGTTCAAACTAAGCTAATACATTTTATTAAATTAACTTGAGTTTCAAATTAGCTTTAACATTTAAAGTATTTTGTTAGCATTTAATATTGATTTAATTAATTAACACCTCTGACAGATTTTAAATGAAGAAATGCTAAGTTTTTATCAGAAGAAAACCTGATTTAGAAAGAAAGAAAGAAAGAGTTTGAGTTTTAAATTGCCTTTATTACACAATCCAGCAATCAATAAAACAAAACAAAGTTAATAAAATAAAAACATAAAAATGCAAAAACTAAAGATTCTTCATCTACTGAACATAGAGCACCATTAACGCCCCACTTATTTACAAAAACATTTATACTCTTTGTCAACTTAAAAAACTCTAATTCTACGCGAACACGAGTCTCTTAAAAAACACACAAGCATCTTCCGTTTGACGACCATTCATTTAGTTCTTTCTTGATTCTTGATATCCATATTTCTAGTTTTACCATTCCAAGAAAGAAAGAAAGAAAGAAAGAAAGAAAGAAAGAAAGAAAGAAACAAAGAAAGAAAGAAAGAAAGAAAAAGCTTGAATGAATAACAGTTTTTTCTTTCTCCAGCCGCTGATTGAATCACCATGTTGGGCTCCATCAGGGCCTCATGGCTCCATAACATCCTTATATTATCTCCCAACGTTGTTTTACAGTGTTGCTCAAAAAACATTGTTTTAAGGTTTTCACACCTTTGCAAAGGGCGTCTGTTGGCGGTCAGCCTCTAATTGAAGGGCCCCTCTCTCTAATTGAAGGGCCCCTCT